GAGCCGTTCGCCCTCCGCTGGGGCGCACATAGGTCGAGCACTTTGAGATTTGTCTGCGCAATTCCGTATTTCCTCTATACCTTATAAAATTCCCCCTCAAATATGAAACATCTTGACCTTTGACCCTTGACACCCAAAATTCTCGCCATCACTATTTTCGGCGAGCACCCCCCCCCCGTTTGCCCCGAATATCAAGATAGTACGGCGCGCGACTTAAAGATTTGTGCCGTACTGTTGACGGCGACACAATATCCATGGTGCTGGTACATTATTTCGCCGGCCCTGGAGGGCAAAGGGACTGGAACAGGACGGGCCACGGACCACTATGCATGCGATTCCTTACAAGGCTGGCATTCTGGGCTTTCATCAGCTGACTCCAGCTTAAAATACTGTGTGATTCCATCCTTCAGGAGAGAATGTGGTGAGATGAGAATGGCTTATTGAGGCTAGTGTCACGAACACACCCTGGAAAGTACGTAGTGTTGCATGAAGAGATCTTCTGTTCTCTTTGTGAACACGACATCGATCAACTGACTCCCTTGTCTTGCGAAATGGCACAACGATTTTTGTGTAAAGTTCTGTTAAATTCCTAAAAAGATAATAAAATCCATTTGAATTATTATAAACAGCTCCAATAATCATGAGCCAATGGCACAAAAACGTATCTCATAAACCCGCAATTATCAGTTATATTTGACAACTGTGCTCTTCATAATTCCTTATAAACCCTTTTAATAACCTTTATAAATTACTTAGTTTCCTAATAACTAACCATCATCATGGTAGCTCTTGTCACACCAGCGATACCTTTGGACGACTTAATATTTCAAAGCTTCGGATGTATTTTTCACAATCGTGGATGGATGTGTGTGTGAGTGCGAATCATCCATCAACAAAATGTAAATCAAACTCACAAATTCTACATTATCAACCTGCCTCCAAATGTAAAATAGCAAACCAAGGACCTCAGCAGTTAGCCTAATTAAATGAACTGGCACATTCTATACTTACAGTAGCTACCTCAGAGGACTAAAGCGCCGGAGACGCACATTCATAGAGCATTATCAACGACAATTAGGGCTGTTAACAATATGACCTGCATTTACATAATTATATATGTAATTAGACGTCAATTAGTCTACTGCTTGAACCTTATCAATAGTACGATGAAAATGGACCTTACATATTATTCCTATCCATATGACATGGCTTTAATGATTTTTATATATGCACTGCGCGCCCTAATCATTATAATTTCTAAGCCATGACGAATTCACTATATACAATAAACTGTAAAATCGCAAATGCGATGATTTGGAATATCTGACAAGTTGTATTTATTAACCATCATTTTATTATTGAAACGGTCCAAGTGCCTGTGATACTGGTGCCGTTACATTCACTGTAAAGTAAAACGACTTCGGGATGTTTTGCCTATTAATTATTACATTGTGTAATAGAAGAAAGGTTCAACTGCTGTTGAGTCTAAACTAACAAGAGATGTTATTTTATATTAAAGCAGAGAGCGAGTTTAAGAAAAAACTACCCAGGGGCATGTATTGTATTTCTGTTTTCAGTAAGATTTGACTCTCTAGACTAAATGTATTAGGTGTTATTGGATCTGAATCAAGATTTTTTTACCAACGTCTGCTGGCGCTGTGGTTATTCATGGTTAAAATTTATTACATTCCTTAGTGGCTTGGTTGCCTTTCTAATTTAGAAGACAGCCCTATCATTTTACACTGTCATCTCACACAGTCCACAATGATGAGAGTCTTCGTTCCGTAACCTCGAGTTCCAAAGTTATTCCACCTTTAGAAAGTGCAATTCCTGTCTGGGATTTGAAGCTCTAGTTAGCTACCTATATTATTGTTTAAACAATTTTTTTAAATTTTAATTCCAAGGGTTTTAATTATAGCATTTGCTAATATCCATTACAAATCAATAAAGTCATTTTAAACGTGCAATTCCACGAGACATTGTAACTAATAATAATGACACGGTTAAAACCCATATAAATAATAAATTGTAATCTTACTATAATTTGGCGAATGTTGTATATGTATGTTAATGAAAGGCTCCGTCAGTTTGGATCCAAATAGCGCCAAATTCACAGAAGAGATCGATGAATACACGGGACGGGTTCTAAACTATACTCGGTTGAAAACCGTAAAAACGGCTTAAAAAAGACAAAAAAACAACAAAAAACGTAAACATTTGCCTGAAAATAGGGGGCGCTGTTTTGTTTTCGTTCTGTGTATCTGTGTTCTGCGTCTGTGTGTCTGAGATTTTTGTAAGCCCTATAATATAAGTAGAAATAACCATGTAATAATGAAGTTAAATATTCAGTAGCTATTTGGCCATAGTTTCCCATATGAGATGTACAAGTTGAATTTCATCAGAGCAGATATTTTTTTTGGAGGTCTGCAATGCTGTGCGGGTGTCGTGAACAGCGAGCTGTCACGAGCGGTCTGATCACAAGCACGTAATATTACGTTGTCCGCACAGAGTGCAAACATGCGTAGAAATAAGCGATCACAACCACGCAATATTACCTGGTCCCGTCCGCACACAGTGGAAACATGCGAAGCACGTAATATTACGTGCTACGTGACGGACGGACGGACGGACATTCATGCGATTCTACAAGCTGCATCTGGCTTCATCAGCTGAGCTAAAAACTGTGTGCATCCCAGAAATGTGTGAATGAGAATGGCTATTAGCTATGTCACTGACACACACCTGGAAATACTGTGTTGCAGAAGCGTCTTCTGTTCTCTCTGTGAACACCGACACATCACTGACTCCCTTCTTGAATGGCACAACGATTTTGTGAAATGTGTTAAAATCTAAAAGATAATAAAATCCATTTAATATTTAAAACAGCCACATAATCAATGAGCAATGGCCACAAAAAAACAGTATTACAAAACCGAATATCAGTATTCTAAACTTCCTTTATAATTCCTTATAAACCTTTATAACCTTTATAATTACTTAGTTCCTAATAAACCTTCATCATGTAGTCTTTCAACCACTGACCTTTGACACTTAATATTTCAAAAGTTCGGATGTATTTTTCACAATGTTATATATGGTTGATGTGAGTGGATATCCATCAACAAAATGTACAAACTCACAAATTTTACATTATCAACCTGCCTCCAAATGTAAAAAGCAAACCAGGACTAGCAGTAGCTAATAAATGAACTGGCATTCTTACTTACATGTACTCAAGGACTAAAGCCGGAGAAGCACATTCCATAGAATGCTTATCAAACAGTTAGGAGCTGTTAAAATTGACCCTGCATTTACATATTATATATGTAATTAGACGTCATTAGCTATGCCTTGAAATGATCAATAGTACGATGAACTGACCTTACCATATTATTTATCCCATGCATGCTTTTAATATAATGTTTTTTATATATGCACTGGGCCTAATCATTATACATGTTCTAAGCCATGACGACATTATAAATACATAAACTGTAAATGAAAACTGGATGATTTGGATTGTATTAGTTAGTCTGACAAGGCATCAACATTATCGGATATATATCATAGACAAAGGGACAACATAATCATGTACTGTATAAGCTGTGTATTTCGCAGTGGTTTAATTTTCGCGAATGTCACGAACGCATCCCTGACAGCGAAAATAACAACATGCGAATGGTTCATACTGAATATTTACTGAATAATTTATAATTCACCGACCGCGAAATTAACCACTCACGAAATTGTCCGTCAAGTCTGAATTCGCGAAAATATCTGTATGCGAAAAATATGGCGTATAGAGTATCAAACAGCTCAGTGTCAAACTTGCAATCACATATACTAGTATCAAAGATCTTCTATCTCGTCTTGTCTTGTATAGCATCAAGCGAGGTAGTTCACCAACATTATACACTAAAGCATATCGTGCCTAGTCCATACCATGTCAGGGGTAGAAATTAATGTTTGAACAAGGGAGTCCAACGAACTTCCCTGCCCTCAAAAAGAGGGAGTCCGCAGCAAAATAAGGGCGTCCGCAGTCTGAAGTTCAAAACTAAAGATATTAACAATAACGCATACATGTGCTTATTTTGAAGATTCATGTGGTTGCATGTCTGCCAAATTTTCTTTGAATATTTGCTGAAAAAATATGGTAATTCCACGAGGTCGTGCTCTGGAACAAACTAGTTAGTATATAGCAGAATTTTCAAAGAGTGACACGAACTCCTGCATATGTCAAATCAGGGAGTCCGACAGTAAACCAGTGAGTATTTGACTGGGGACACACGTTAATTTCGCACCCTGCCATGTAAGCATTGATAATTCATAAACCATGAGGGTATATATATATATATATTATATATACATACACATATGATAACAATGAAATTAGTAGTTGCAGCATGGATGCCACATCGTGCATCCTCAGATACATTATACTCTCAATGTTACTTACCACTGTTTGAAGAAAACTTTACTAGCAGGCTTTTATTGTGCACTGTGAATAAATATCCCATCTCTCCAACCCGGCTGCACTCGAGGTTCTTGTGAATGAAAAAGTTAGCCGCCACTGTTCGACCTAGAAATTACAGTCATTGGATGTTTTAAGCACTGGGAAATGCACCCAAGTTGAGACAACATTTAGGATTCATCCTGCAGATCATTTCTAAACTTGACCAAGCAGTTATCTAACTTAACAGCATTGGATGCATTTGAGAGACACCAAGATGCTACTTATTACGTATAAATATAATATATATTAGCAAAAACAAATTAATTCGAAAATGCAGCCAGTTTGAGTTTAGTAGTGAATGTAAATGAACCATGTTGAAAAATTAATAACTAGAATAACAATAATGAATAGATAACCACAACATATTCAATAATGGGAAGAACTTTGGCAGCTGATTTTAGAAGTGAGAAATATGTGGCTATGTATGTTACAAAGCTAAGATACATTGACACAGGTTTGTACACAATATCTCCATGTACATGTTTTGATGTCATACATTACCATACATGTGTAAAGACTTGCAATCTGAGTGAAAAAATAGGTGAGCTTTTAAAACAGAGACACTATTAATGACTAGGAAAACTGTTATTGGGTAGAATAAGTAAATACTGGAAGTACATCAGCTGGGGTTTCAGGGCAAATTTGTGACAGTTAATGGAAGATTGTGATAGTGCTAACAGTAGACTAACGATGCCATCACCATTTACATTGCAATTTAGCAAGAGATACAGGTCCTCCTCGCCTTAAACACCTCTGATAGTGATAGCAACTCTACCCACAAGATGAGTAGTTGACACATCTACTCAATCTCATGCACAGTAGCAAACAATGACCTAGTTTTATGTTTACTCCAACACCAAACACCATGTAAAATTCTACCATATCAAGAAAAAATCCATCATTTATCCTACAAACAAATATATACACACTTGCTACAAGTTGGCCATGATGAGTTGAGTAATTCTTTAGCTAGATTACACTCTAGCCACAAGTTCCCTTCTCGCTTAACACTACATTGGCGAGAGGGTCACAAGCCGACGCAATAGAATATTGTTCGGCATGACGTGCGCTGCTATTAAACGTAAAATTATCTAACTTTTTATGATTGTTACCGCTTCTCTGTACTTCCACGCCTCGATTTATTATACGTGTGCTATAATTGAGCATGTATTTACGTGTCAGCGAGTAATTATTTATAAATTGATAAGATAAAACTCCAAAAAACGCCGCCATTTTCCAATAGATATCCCATCACGCGTAGCGAAAAATACATTGCAAACAGTACAAAAAGAGACATAAGAACATCCAGTATGGCGTTTTACAACGTTCAAATAGTATAGCTGTTCGAAATGCTCTTATTTTAACGTGTATTTCGAAGTAAATAGTAATTAAGAAGTGATGCGATAGTTGCAAACATGTAACAAGCGAGGTCAAATGTTGTAATACATTGTTTTATTTACGAAATTTTACGAAATTCGAAGTTTGTTTTCAAGCTACCAGGCATTTCGTATGGAAGGGTGTCAGGCTCCTACGACGTGTAACAGTCGGAGAGCTTGGTCGGTTTAGATTACACTCTACAGTACAGTACAGTATTTTCCGCAAATGCAGACGTTATAACTCCGCTTTTCTAATCTGAGGGTGCGGGTTTATCGTTTGCAGTCAGCCTTGTAAAAATTGTTGCAATTTTTGTTGTGGGCATTGGATAGGTGAATTGAGTAGCACTGAGGGCGTCATGAGGGTATATCTGACCCAAAATATCAAGTACAGACTTTCTGTGTGTCAATATCGCTTTCCGAAGACTTGATCTCCATTTCAGAACTTTGTTTTCATGCAATAATTCATCCTAGTAAGAGTAACTTCTATATTTTTGGCCATATTCATTTCGATCGGCCAATGAAATTCACTTCCGGTAGTTTCGGGTTCACTCGGAAATAATTAAGATTAACCAGACCATAGATGGGTGCGGACTATATTTGAACATCGGGAATAGCCGAAGTAACCGAAAGTGATTTTTATTGGTTGACAATTGTGAATGAAGACAGACCATTTTCTTTGGATGTTTACATTTACCATTAGGTTAACAACTTGATATATTCTTATGTTGTGGCCGCTACCAGGACATCATAGCGTGCATGCACGTAGATAAATGATTCAAGTTCAGATTAAAGTAAGTTCCACGCAATATAGGATTGTATATATCAGGCGCTTATATTACTTATAAGTGCCACCTCAAAACTGGAGGTGGCTTTCCGTGATTGAGATAGACACGGCCGCAGACCCCATTACTGGGGTCTGCGTCACCTCGGACTAAGTACAGTACAACTTGTTGAGTAACTCTTTGTCTATTTGTCATTTGCCTCCAACAAAATACCGTTATTAATGCTAGTGGTGTCACAGTTGTTCTTACAGGAAATTTGTAATGTCGATTACAATACACTACCAACCATTCTGAACAAAATAGAACGTTTACATGAACCTAGGACCATGATATTTCACATTGAAATCGAATGGGCAAGAAAATTGTGCTCTCGGCTACTGGAATAATATTTAGCACGTATTGCCTAGGTAAGAAAGTACTATTAATACTGCTACCATTTTCAATCTGAACATTGCAGCCTTGCACTCCTTTTGTAACGGACAACCTTGATGGTGTGCTCACGGTTTTCTCAATCTCACAACTTTGATTAAACACAGACAATAACACGTTATCAAATACGGTCGCCATTTTCCCAGCAATGCCGTGTTGTGCAAACAAATGAGCAACAAATCGATGGCCTTGTGTTTCAAACGCGCCGCCATTCCCTCTGTATTCTAAACGTGACCGGCCGGCGAAGTTTTCTCTCGAAATACGCTTGGGAAAACTTACTTTGCTTATGTACGTATGTAGCAAACATTGTAATGATATCATTTATTTTGAAGTCGTCTTTAGTGTGTAATTAGTGAGAGATATTTCAGTGTCAAGCGTTGTGAAAGAGTCGTTGACCGTGTGGCATGACCGTGACTCACTTGTGATCCACTCCCAACGCATGTTACCGCTCACAATGTTTCCAACTGTTCCTGCGTCGCTCTTCTTAATTAAACACAGTGCAGCGTAGCACGTTTATAAATTTCGGACTATTAAGCAATTTATCGTAGCATTCAAGATTTTAGTAATCAAATGTGCATGAACTAATTTAATTCATCGTTAATAGTTACATAATGGCGAGATACAGTTGGTCGTGATGCCGATGGCTGATGCGTTGATCGTTGGCGCCCATACTGGTCACAGGCACTTGGAGCGTTTCAATAAAATATACGCAGAGGCTACGCGACCGGAACCGGTCCCCCATCCCACAGGCACTTGGACCGTTTCAATAATAAAATGATGGTTAATAAATACAACTTGTCAGTAGCCTACTACTACAGTACCAGCAATAGTCTTAATGTTTGATTTGACCTAATAACTTCAATTCAACACCGTTCAATACACCGCTGCAACACATAGCGCCACGCCATGTGCATGCACAGATACACAGTAGATAGGGAGAGGATAGAAGCCTTTTCACAGAAATTCCAGACGCTCCACTCTTGTCGATGCACTAGAGACGAAATAAACCTCCAACGCCATGATAGTTGGATCTGTGTGTAGCTGAATGATCACTGTTCGAAATATACGTCTTGCAACATGGTACCACAGACTTTACCAGAATTATATGATAAATCCTGCTCAAATTTGCCGCAAATTTTCCATGAAGCCGATTTGTAAAACGGACAAGTACATGAGCAATGGCGGCGCATTGCACTCTGGAGGAGTTGAATCCGCCTGCCCAACTCCAAAACGAGCCTCGACGCCAACCCTTCGCGCAAAGTGACGTCACACTGGGCGACTATCGTGATTGGTCAAAGGATATATAGAGCAGTTAGGGATTTCCGGCATGTTGTCCGGTTTACAAATCGGCTTCATGGGAAATTTGCGGCAAATTTGGCAGGATTTTATCATATAATTCTGGGTAAAGTCTGTGGTTCATGTTGCAAGACGTATATTTCGAACAAGGGTGATCAGTCAGCCTACACACAGATGCCAATATCATGGCGTTTGGACGTTTATTTCGTCTCTAGTGCATCGACAAGAGTGGAGCGGTCTGGAATTTCTGCTTGAAAGGCTTTCTTAACCTTCTCCTATCTACTGTGTATCTCGTGCATGCACAATGGCGTGCGGCGCTATGTGTTGCATCGGTTAATTTAACGGTGTTGAAGTGAAGTTATTTATGGTCAATCAAACATTAGACTATTGCTGGTACTGTAGTAGTAGGCTACTGACAAGTTGTATTTATTAACCATCATTTTATTATGAAACGCGGTCCAAGTGCCTGTGATACTGGTGCCGTTACATTCACTGTAAAGTAAAACGACATCGGAGTGTTTTGCCTATTAATTATTACATGTGTAATAGAAGAAGGTTTCAACTGCTGTTGAGTCTAAACTAACAAGAGATGTTTTTTTATATTAAAGCACGAGAGCGAGTTTAAGAAAAACTACCCAGGGGCATGTATTGTATTTCTGTTTTCAGTAAGAGTTTGACTCTCTAGACTAAATGTATTAGGTGTTATTGGATCTGAATCAAGATTTTTTTACCAACGTCTGCTGGCGCTGTGGTTATTCATGGTTAAAATTTATTACATTCCTTAGTGGCTTGGTTGCCTTTCTAATTTAGGAACAGCCCTATCATTTTACACTGTCATCTCACACAGTCCACAATGATGAGAGTCTTCGTTCCGTAACCTCGAGTTCCAAAGTTATTCCACCTTTAGAAAGTGCAATTCCTGTCTGGGATTTGAAGCTCTAGTTAGCTACCTATATTATTGTTTAAACAATTTTTTTAAAATTTTAATTCCAAGGCGTTTTTAATTATAGCATTTGCTAATATTCATTACAAATCAATAAAGTCATTTTAAACGTGCAATTCCACGAGACATTGTAACTAATAATAATGACACGTTAAAACCCATATATAAATAATAAATTGTAATCTTACTATAATTTGGCGAATGTTGTATATGTATATAATGAAAGGCTCCGCATTTGGATCAAATAGCGCCAAATTCACAGAAGAGATCGATGAATACACGGGACGGGTTCTAAACTATTACTCGGTTGAAAACCGTAAAAACGGCTTAAAAAAGACAAAAAAACAACAAAAAACGTAAACATTTGCCTGAAAATAGGGGGCGCTGTTTTGTTTCGTTGCTGTGTATCTGTGTTCTGCGTCTGTGTGTCTGAGATTTTTGTAAGCCCTATAATATAAGTAGAAATAACCATGTAATAATGAAGTAAATATTCAGTAGCTATTTGGCCATAGTTTCCCATATGAGATGTACAAGTTGAATTTCATCAGAGCAGATATTTTTTTTGGAGGTCTGCAATTTGCTGTCGGGTGTGTGAACAGCGAGCTGTCACGAGCGGTCTGATCACAAGCACGTAATATTACGTTGTCCGCACAGAGTGCAAACATGCGTTAGAAATAAGCGATCACAACCACGCAATATTACCTGGTCCCGTCCGCACACAGTGGAAACATGCGAAGCACGTAATATTACGTGCTACGCAGCTAGCCAAGTGGTTAATCAGTCGCCCGACCTACCAGCCCATTCAGATCTATCTATATTCTAACTTTGGAGTCCGTATCATCAACCAGTAGTTCCTACATAGCATACAATAAAACATTTGTGTGTGCGTGCATGCGTGCGTGCGTGCGTATTTCACTGCGTGCTTGCCAAACAAATGGTTAATGTGTTACGTGTAAGCATGATTGTACATTTATTTGTATTGACATCTCAACCATAAAAAAACAAACATGTGCAACAACTAAACTCTCCATATAACACCTTACACATAACACTACTGTACTGGTAACACATGCATCACAGTCACTAAGCTTGCGCGTAGCGCGGGTTTCAGCTAGTAAGTACTAAATGTTTGGCTTAGGAAAAGCTGAAACTGAGTGCCGTCCATAACAGGTAAAAAGTTAATATGACTCAAGTTGCAGTTTTGGGTAGTGCCATCAATTTGTATGTACACATGTATTGTTGGTGACATTATACATCGCAGCTTTCCTAAACAGCAGCAAAGAAAAATTTCATAACATCTGTGCAGGTAGTTGTACTTTCTATGGAAATTGGGCATTCAAAAATTGGCCATGCAAATTTTTTTGCCACTAGTAAACTGATGTTGGTCAATTGTGCGATGTTTGAAATGTTTTTATTTGGCTTGAAATCGGCTTGGTTAATGCGAACAAATAAATTTTTATAGTTGTCCATTATTTAAAACAAAAACTTTTATTTAGGCAGTTACTGAGTTAGTAATTAGTGCTACAGTGGGATTAACACTAACCCTAGTAATGTGAAATGTACCATTACTTATATTGGAATTTTTTATAAACTGCAAAAGTTGTTTGCGTATAAATCAATAACAGCTAATTAATGTCTGCATTTTATATCATTGTGTCACTCATGTTGCGTGACTGCGTGAGGCATAATGGCGTTTTGAACCTATCACCTATGTGACTTTGATATTTTGTTTCTAAATTTTATGCTCTGTCTCGTTCGTAACAAGGTGGTTGTCGTTAAAGTTTCTAGAATAACTTTGTGATACTTTGGGGAGAAATTGTGTTAAATCCTTGGTGTATGTATTTCTATGGCCTCTGAATCAAACATGATTTTAAGCGAAAAGTTGCAGGTATGCTGGTCATTAGCTCGCGTAATTTATCTGCGATCCCGTCATCTCTCGCGACACGAGATCGTAATCGTCACGTGTTCCTCGCTCATTGCAGACACACCGGGCAAGATGGATCTCATCACGATTTTGGAGAAGACCGTCTCGCCGGACAAGGCTGAGCTGGAGGCGGCGCAGAGCTACTTGGAGCAGGCCGCACAGCAGAACCTCCCCGAGTTCCTCAAGGGCCTGTCGGAGGTGCTCAAGCACGGCGGAAACTCACCCGTCGCGCGCATGGCCGCCGGCCTGCAGCTGAAGAACAATCTGACGTCGAAGGACGCCGCCGTGAAGCTGCAGTACCAGCAGCGGTGGCTGTCGTTCGCCGAGGACGTGCGCGCCTACGTGAAGGCGAACGTGCTCGCGACGCTCGGCACGGAGACTACGCGGCCCAGCTCGGCGGCGCAGTGCGTCGCCTACATCGGCGGCATCGAGATTGCGCACGCGCAGTGGGTCGACGTGATCGGCGTCATGACGGCGAACATCACGAACCCAACGAGCACGGAGATGATGAAGGAGGCGACGCTCGAGGCGATCGGCTACCTGTGCCAGGAGATCGAGCCCGACCACCTCGCGACGCAGTCGAACGAGATCCTAACGGCGATCGTGCACGGCATGAAGAAGGAGGAGCCCAGCAACCACGTGAAGCTCGCCGCGACGACGGCGCTGCTCAACTCGCTCGAGTTCACGAAGGCGAACTTCGAGAAGGACTCCGAGCGCCACTTCATCATGCAGGTCGTCTGCGAGGCGACGCAGTCGGACGACACGCCGGTGAAGGTCGCCGCTCTGCAGTGCCTCGTCAAGATCATGTCGCTCTACTACCAGTTCATGGAGCACTACATGGGCCCGGCGTTGTTCGCGATCACGATGGAAGCGATGAAGTCGGACGTCGATGAGGTGGCGCTGCAGGGCATCGAGTTCTGGTCGAACGTCTGCGACGAGGAGGTGGACCTCGCGATCGAGGCGTCGGAGGCGGCGGACCAGGGCCGGCCGCCCGAGCACACGTCGCGCTTCTACGCGAAGGGGGCGCTGCAGTACCTCGTGCCGATCCTGCTCGAGAAGCTGACGAAGCAGGAGGAGTACGACGACGACGAGGAGTGGAACCCGTGCAAGGCCGCCGGCGTCTGCCTCATGCTGATGGCGACGTGCTGCGAGGACGACATCGTGCACCACGTGCTGCCGTTCGTGCAGGAGCACATCAAGAACGCGGACTGGCGCTTCCGCGACGCCGCCATCATGGCGTTCGGCTCGATCCTCGAGGGTCCCGACCCCGCGCAGCTGCGGCCGATCGCCGAGAAGGCGGTGCCGGCGCTCATCGAGCTGCTGCGCGACGCGAGCGTGGTCGTGCGTGACACGACGGCGTGGACGGTCAGCCGCGTCTGCGAGCTGCTGCCGGACGCCGTCGTCACGGAGGAGTACCTGAACCCGCTGCTGCGCGCGCTCGTCGACGGCCTCGGCGCCGAGCCGCGTGTCGCCGCCAACGTCTGCTGGGCGTTCTCGAGCCTCGCCGAGGCGGCGTACGAGTCGGCGGACGCGGCGAGCGACGACGCCGAGCCAACGACGTACGCGCTGTCGGCCTACTTCGAGCCGATCGTGCAGAAGCTGCTGGAGACGACCGACCGCACGGACGGGCAGCAGAGCAACCTGCGCAGCGCCGCCTACGAGGCGCTCATGGAGATGGTGAAGAACAGCCCGAAGGACTGCTACGTCACCGTGCAGAAGACGATCATGATCATCATGGAGCGGCTGAACAAGGTGCTGTCGCTCGAGGCGCACATCCACAGCCAGTCGGACCGCAGCCAGTACATCGACATCCAGTCGCTGCTGTGCGCGTCGCTGCAGAGCCTGCTCCGCAAGGTGGCCCCGGAGGACGCACCGAAGATCTCCGACATGGTGATGACGGCGCTGCTGCAGATGTTCAACAGTTCTGGCGGCAAGTCGGGCGGCATGCAGGAGGACGCGCTGATGGCGGTCGCGACGCTCGCCGAGGTGCTCGGCGACGGCTTCCTCAAGTACATGGAGGCATTCAAGCCGTTCCTCGCTGTCGGCCTGAAGAACCACGCCGAGCACCAGGTGTGCCTCGCCGCCGTCGGCCTCGTCGGAGACGTGTGCCGCGCGCTCGGCGCGCGCGTGCTGCCGTTCTGCGACGAGATAATGACGCTGCTGCTCGAGAACCTGGGCGACGAGCACGTGCACCGCGCCGTCAAGCCGCAGATCCTCTCCGTGTTCGGCGACGTGGCGCTCGCGATCGGGCCCGAGTTCCGCAAGTACGTCGACGTCGTGCTCGGCACGCTGCAGCAGGCGTCGCGCGCGCAGGTCGACAAGTCCGACTACGACATGGTTGACTACCTCAACGAGCTGCGCGAGGGCTGCCTCGAGGCGTACACGGGCATCGTGCAGGGCCTGAAGGGCGACGGCGAGCCCGCGGGTGCTGACGTGCAGCTTGTGCAGCCGCACGTCGTGCACATGGTCAACTTCGTCGAGTCGATCGCGAACGACCCCGACCACTCGGATGGCAACGTCGCGGCGGCGGCGGGCCTCATCGGCGACCTCTGCTCGGTGTTCTCCGTCGCCATGGTGCCGCTCGTCGACAAGGAGAGCATCGCGGCGCTGCTGACGACCGGCCGCCGCTCGAAGACGAACAAGACGAAGACGCTCGCGATGTGGGCGACGAAGGAGATCCGCAAGCTGAAGAGCGAGACCGCCGCTTGAAGGGGGCGCCGCAGTCGTTACTCGGCGGCGGCGGCGGCGTCGCCGCACGCGCGCGAGAGAAAGCGTCCCACATCCCGATGCCAGCACGGCGGTTGACGCAGGGCACCGGCCCCCCGATCGGGGCGGGCGAGAGGGAGCCCAGCTGGCTGTGTGGCAGTGTGCGTAAGAGAGGAGTGAAGTGAGGAGTGGTGTGTGAGCGTGCGAGAGAGTTGTCATCACAACATCCCCCCCTAGAACGACTGCGCATCGGTGGCGAGAGAGTGCCGGCCACCGCGATCGCAGAGACAAGACGAGCCCACGGACATTTTCAACTCCAATGAACCACAGTGCCTTTACCCGTCGAAGCCAGCATTCGTGATTGGCGCCGAACAAGAGGCAGCGCGACATTGGCGGACTCGTTGCCTGCACTGCACGTGCACTCTAGACTCGCATGTTCGGAACGAAAATAATTTCCCGAGATGGAAAAAAAATGCAGCGTCCACGAGAAAGTATTGCGCAGGTTTTTGTAGTCGGAATATTCATATATAATGTAAGCATTGTCAATCATTTACTGAAATCCCATGTCAGACCTACTGGTACTGGCACATTCATGTGATATGGTTTATAAATCTTGTGATCAGTCTTCAATGCTGAGTAAAATGCTACTTGCTATTGCTAAACATGTTCCAATGATTGCATCATGGCTGATTGCTGCTGCCACTGGCACATTTACCTAGTGTAGTGTTTTCACACTGCGGGAAACGTGCTCATTGATAGATAAAATCAAACGCTCAAGAGGAATCTATTTGGCAGTGGTACAATACCCCCCATCGACGCGCGGTATCGTTTCATGTAAGGTAGTGGATCTGGTGGCAATGTGACGATGGTCACGGCATTATCGAGGAAAAGTCGCTGGTCATGAGATGCGGCTTATAGCTTTGTTGACGATTTCGTTATCTTTGACGTGCATGAAAATTCTATTTTTCTTTCTAGTTCAATTGGTACCTTGGTTAGCAACGCACACGTTGCATAGTATATAGTGTACCCGTTTTCGTGCTACCAGATTCACAGACTTGTCCATAAAACTATAGCAGCCTGGAAGTCAGGGACTTTTTCCTATTGCCACAGAGAGCACAATTATAGATGACCATTTACTCGTGGAATCTTGTCCGATCTCCACACAAAGAAAATTTATATATATGTAAGATTTGCGGATATACGTCTATGCGTATCTGTATATAAACGAGGTTGGTGGTATATCCTGCATATCCTATTCAACAGAGGTGCTCCTGGTGTGTCCTGGATACGATTTGAATGTATTTCTCAACTCTCCAGGCTGCTTGTTTCTCACTGTATGAATGATGTGTGTGTGTGTGAATGTGGAGAGAGAGAAAGGAAATATTGCTTCGTTTTTGTTACCGTATTACTACGATATAATTATAATCGATTAATTCACGCAGTTGGCGAGCGATGCTGAGGCGCCCGACATTTCGTGATGTGTAGAGAATGGTTAACCGCTGCGAGATAGAAGACGTACGGCTACCGCACTTCTGTGCTGATGCTGCGTGCAGCTCACATGCTTCAAAGTACCTCTTATCTTGCGTCATGGTGTAGAAACGTGTTATATTAGCCAATGATAGTGAAGCCCACAAGGAAACGAGCGGGGGTTGTTTTGGCCTCCTAGAAAGTTCTTCTATCTATAAAAGAATCACCATCATCAGTCTCTCTCTCTCTCTCTCTCTCTGTTTCTTGCTCTGTCTGTTTTTTGTTAGATAGTAACCTCCACACTTCGCTCCGCAGCCGAATGAGGCGTGTACATACGGGGCAGGAAGCACTGTGTGAATTCGATATCGCAAATCATGTCTATTTTGTATAATATCTTTTAGCGAGAGCCGCATCGGCGAGGACTGGTATATACAGAGAGGCAAAGCAGCGACGTGCGAGACGCAGATAGCGCCAGGTTCCCGCCCAGCGTAGCTAGCTGCCGGTGTGTCCGCGGGACTGTAAAGCATCTCTCATGCAGTCCTCGCGTCTCGTGTGCTGAAACCCGCCCGCGGCTCGTTGCTGTGGTTACGCTTGTCATCGGGCGAGCATCGTGACAAGGTTGTTTTGGTGGTGACGATGATGATTATGATGATGATGATGATGATGATCACCATCCTCATCGTCGTCATCGTCGCCGCTGTCCGGTGATCGGTAGGATTCTTGTGATACGGGTGCAAGCAGCTGCAGGGTGTGTGCCTCCCGCCCTCCCTCCCTCCCTCCCTCCCCCCGCCCCGCACGTGTTACCGGTGCGGTCGGTGTGCAGTGTTCTTACTCATGGGGAGGCTGTGGTGGGAGCGAAGGCGTTTAGTTGAGTGCTCGCCGGGGTTAGTGCGCGCCTCTATACACGTAACCCGAGTGAACGTGTCGATCTGCTTCCGAAACAGTTTCTAGACACGATTTCTGGCAGTCGAGATTAGACGTATTTTTGGCAGGTAGGATTGATTCTTTGTACGTGATTTGTTTTTTCCGTATGTGACGTATATATATATATAGCTTGAACGAAGCTGTTATCATATATGTCAGCAACCTTGTCAGTAGTACGAAAAAAATCTTGGTCATTGTCTTATTCCGTTGGTTAATAAATCCATTACCGATTAATAAGTTCTAATGGTATTTATATGTAGCCGTATAATCGTCATCCCAGTTTTCTTATAGCCTGTAAAACATAACAATTGAATTTCTATATTACAAAACTTTTCATCTGGGCGAAACTTCGCGATATTCATCAAACATTGGCACTTTCACTTCAATTAGTTTACACTACAGTAAACACCCGCATAAAAGAACCCGTGATTTTCTGTTTCAGGCGGAAGTGGTTCTTATATATATGATACATGGTGGGAAATCGGCCTGAAGAGGTTCTTAAAGAGGTTCTTAATTTTTTTTGGGGGGGGATATTGTGTACATTATCTAGGTAAAATTTGCTTTAATTAGTGAATAATTGACACTAATTAATTAACCAACTGCATAATATTAGAAATTATATGTCTGTTTAAATTTATTTGAGTTAATTTATTTATCACCTTTAATTTACTTATATTAAACGCAATGAAAGGTCAAATGCTGTGAAAATTGATTTGACAAATAGTAGACAGTACAGGCAATAATTCATTGTCAGCATAACTGCATTACAGTAATATAACACAGCTTAATTTAAACTAGTAAATGCAAGCAAATATTTTGATAATTAAATTAAATTACCAAATTTACTGGAAAATGAGGCAAAATACCCCCTGGAAAATTCAATCCTCCGGTGATATTAATATTATTTGGAACTACATGTTGTTGGTTTCCAATGGTGTAGCACACATACTTGGATTGCCCCAGGTTGCTCTCATTTTCGGTATTTTTTTTTCATATAAGAACCTGCTTCATTTATCAGGCTGAAGTGGTTCTTATATACTAGGTGCTTTATTGGTCCATTTTCAGCCTGGAGGTTCTTTCCGCAGTTTCTTTTATGCGGGTGTTTACTGTATTCACACTGCGGTGCTGTGAAGCCGCTACCTGGTTAAAATCAGAGCAAGATTTTGGTTTGGATACGCTTGATTGCATGGACAGACGACATGACGCAATAAAAGCCGCCAGTGTTTGGCTGCTATCAGAGCCAAAATATCTGTTGGTAGCAAATTATTGTCACCCTTTGCTAAACGAAATGATATTTGATAATATACACTTCTACATCGACCGAATCAATATACAGCGAATAATAATCACGTAATTATATATAATAACTGCAACTGTAATAGCATCATTCCGTGCCACGTCTGGTCGGTGTGTCGACAAATGGCGTCTGTGAAGTTTCATTAGCTCAGGGCTATTACCGTAACACGGAAACAGCATTTTGTGTTCTGTGCGTGCCTAGTAATTGCAACACATTATAAAGTCTACATATAGAACAGATCCTTGTGTCGCACCGTTAGGAGCGGTCACTACATTGCACGGCGAAATGAGTATGTCCCACGACGCATTATTTTATTTTCTAGACGAAATTTTCTATTCAAATTTCGCTTTTAAATAAGCAGATTTAAAATTGCCTCAAACGATAAAATACGTAACTATTACTCATATAAGTAAGCAGCTAGGTTTTCGCTAGGCAGCCACTTGTGGTTATTAGACTATAATTTTTTGTCCATATTTAAACGGGCACGTGATCTGTCAGCCAAAAGATAAAATGAAAAACAAGGCAAAGTTACACGACCTACAAGACTGGTCGCAGTTGACCCTGACTGATTTTGGTACCGATATGGTACTGAACAGTTCAAGATCATTGGTTTTCAGGGCGTGTACATGGAATTAAATCAATGAATACTGAAAAGGGTCTCACACAGTGCAATGACAAATCAAAAAGCCACGCTTCCAGTACATTCAGTAAGTAGGTTGGTAAGTGAAAATGCCCTAGCTGTTCTGTAAAATAATATTATTGAGTTTCTAATGTAGACGGGATATTTTTATGCTGACCGAAACTCGTCGTGCAAACAACTCCCCCACATGGAGCCGAATACCAGTTTAATATCTAGAACAAGAACACAAATTGGGGTGCAGCTAAATAATATTGCCTGTGAGAGGTAAATCCTTACGTGGTTTGTGTTCAGGGCAGTTGTCTGCGGGCAATTCGCGAATGGCCATGTAATAATAATTATACTTTTCTGTCTAATAGTAATTAAGATTCCTCCCCCTCCCCACCGTCCGCTAGCTACGGCACTGAAAAATAATTCGCACCGAGATCTTTGTATTAAAACATCTGGAAGGGGATTGACCTAAAATTTATTTTTCGGACAATATCGACAAATTCGAACGTGGTTCTCAAACACACTTATTATTTTGTCTGACCTGAAGACGCAATGTCCCGTACATTCTATTCACCTTGTATATTCGTCGACAGAGAGCGCTAGTGTATTAAACCACATGCACCGCTTTTGCTGTGCGAGTCAATAGCGAATGCCGGGGGTTGATGTTACGAGCAACCTCACGCTAGACTTCAGGATGAACGTGTCTAAATCAGACCCGATTTTAATTACATTTTTATCCTAGTAAATCAAATGTGGTTTTTTCAGAATAACATTTACGATTTGTTATCATTTCTCAGCTGATTTCATTTCTCAGTAGTCTATTTTCGTCCTCTACGCTCACTCTCTCTCTCTCTCTCTCTCTCTCTCTCTCTCTCTCTCTCTCTCTCTCTCTCTCTCTCTCTCTCTC